TTGCATTGCTGCTGCAACGGGCCTTGCTCTTAGTACAGATATAATACAGATGGTTCATTCCTCAGTTTGGGTCTGTCTCACATAGAGGGATCAGCTTCCTCTCCACCATAGTACGTGCACAGATTTACTTCAGAACATCAGAGACGCCAATGTTGGATCAGGCCAAAGGCCCATCCAGTCCAACACTCTGTGTCACACAGTGGCCAGAAATACCAGTGCCATCAGGAGGTCCAGCAGTGGGGCCAGGACATTAGAAGCCCTCCCACTGTTGACCCCCCCCAAGCACCAAGAAGACAGAGCATACTTATTTATTCAGGCATTTTTATCCTGTCTTTCTCCCAAAGGAGGATGTAAGAAAGCTGCCAAAAATTACCCAAATACAGTTTAAGAAGTCCTCTGACCTGGGTGGCCTCAGGCTAGCCTGATCTCATCACATCTCAGAAGTTGACCAGGGTTGACCCTGGTTAGTATTTGACTACTTTAGTACTTCAGGGCAGAGTCTGAGGTAGCCTTTATCATACACAGCAAAGAAGGGATGAAGGGTCTCTCCAGAGAAGGAGGCTCCCGAGAACCTGTAGAGAAGGGCTGCTCTGTGAGCATCGAAAAAGGCCACCTGCCCCCCCTCGTAGTTGAGAGAGACTCGGATCTTCTTGAGCTCTCCATGCAGGGTCAGGAGAGGGTTAATGTCCTTTATGAAGGCCTTGTACCGGCCCTTATTCCACCCCACAGCCCAGATCCCTTCCTCAGGAGTCAGGGTGACCCTGCCCCTCACAAGCTTTCTGGCCACCCCCACGGCCCAGCCTTCCTCACTTCCCACAAGGACTTCCCAGAAATGGCAGCCTGCTGTGAAGCCCTCACGGCCCAGCATATAGGAATAAAAGTAAACATTCTCAGGATGTTCAGGCAGGTCTTGAGCTTTAGTTTGGCATGTAATGCTTCTCCGATCTTCAGACAGGATAAGTTTGGTATCAGCTGTGATTGGATCCAGAGTCACATTTGCTGTTAGGGAGAAATGAAGAGACAGAAGGGAAGGAAAATCAGCCACACATGCAAAAGTTCCAATTGTCCCAAGGAAAACCCACTCTTTGATAGCTCTGTTTTTAAAGCAGCTGGTTTGTTCATTTGATTTCTCTCTAAAATTTAACTCTGCATCCGTGGCAAAACAGCTAGAGCCAAAGTAGGCAGAACAAGTACCCTCCCTCCAAACACTGTATATAAACCTTAGCATTTTGGGGACCACTGGGGAAAGGGAGGCAGAAGAGTTCAGCAGTAAGAAGAAGGCACTCTGCACACTCTCAGAGGTACCGTTCTTCCTGTATTCCAAGACTTGATTGGGAAGCTGAGCTCAGTTGATATATTTGTACATTTTTTTTTTTTGTGTGTGTGTGTGGCGGGGAAATAAGTGAACAGAGTTTGTCTAGAAAGTAGTGAAAAAATAATTATGCTGCAAGGGAATGGAAGGTATCTGTTCTGGAGGGCTGCAAGGGAGGTTTTCAGTGCTCAGTTTCTGAAGAGGAATACATGCTATCGTTCTGTAAGACCTGAGGTTCATTAATGTGGAGTAGAAGTCTTAGTTTTCCTCTGAAACCCCCAAAGGACATGAGTTATTGCAACAGAAGATCTGGAAGAAAGCAATTTCACTGGCTTTCCCCCATTTTTTGGCCAGGTATGCTTCATCCTTATCTCTAATAGCCAACCAAAATGGCATGTGAAGTCTTGATGGTGGCCAGTTTTGTGGGGGTAGGTGAGATGGGGAGGGCAAGCTGGAGCCAGTGTCAGGATGGGAAAGCCAGTCATAGGAGTGACAGCCTCCAGGTGGGGCTATTCAAGTCCCCTATTCTTAAACAGCTCCTCACCCACAATAATACAGCATCTAACTTGAACATGGACAGTGATACCAGAGCTTGCAGTAAACCCAGATGCCAACTTTGCTGCCACATACACCCAGACAACACGATCACTGGACCTAAGAACATCAATTACACCATCACAGGCTCATTCACTTGCTCATCTTTTAACACTGTAAAAGGTAAAGGTAAAGGTTCCCTTGCTCGAAAGCCAGTTGAATCCGACTCTAGGGTTGCAGTGCTCATCTCCGTTTCAAAGCCGAAGAGCCAGCGCTGTCCGAAGACGTTTCCGTGGTCATGTGGCCGGTATGACTAAACACCAAGGTGCACAGAACGCTGTTACTTTCCCACCGAAGTGGTACCTATTTATCTACTTGCAATTTCTTGCTTTCGAACTGCTAGGTTGGCAGGAGCTGGAACTAGAGACGGGAGCTCACTCCATCATGCGGCAACTCGGGTCTCAAACTGCTGAACTACCGACCTTCCACTGCCTGCAGTTCAGCATCTTAACCACTTGAGCCACCGCAGCTCCTTTTAACACTATATGTTATTAAATGCCAGCTATGCCCTTCAGTTCTCTACATAGGCCAAACAGGTCAAACCCTATGCCAAAGGATAAATGGACAGAAATCTGACATCAAGAATCACAAAACTGAGAATCCTGTAGGAGAACATTTCAGCCTCCCAGGGCACCCAATGGGGGACCTCAAAATAGCTGTTCTATTGCAAAGGAATTTCAGAAGCAGACTAGAATGGCAGATTGCTGAGTTGCAAGCAATGTTCCCTCTAAGCTGTTGAGTCTTGTGAGCAAAAATTCTAGTCTGTGAGCTACTGACATTAAAGTTGTGAGTGAGCGATTTGGCTGCTGCATAAATCAGTTTGCTCTGGAGCCATCCTTCCTGAGCGAAGACAAAAATGTGTGAGCTGGAAGCTAAAAAACTGTGAGCTGGCTCACACTAACTCAGCTTAGAGGGAACACTGGTTGCAAGTTATTACAACACTCAGGACAATGGACCACCCAGAACTTAACAGAGATATTGGTTTCTTATCTCCCTACACATGCTAACATCATTTAGTTCTCACATCTGTTTGTAAACTGTTATGCTGTGTGCAAATTTGCTGCTATTCACAGGTCTTACCAAACCGCCCTCATCCAGTCTTAGCTTGTATTTACTGCTCAGTTACTTATGCATATTGACTTTAATTGGCCCTTCCTGGCAACACCCTCCCCACTTCTACCTATATGTAATGGTTGGTGACTTCTGTTTCACTGTATCTGAAGAAGTGTGCATGCACAGGAAAGCTTATACATGGAATAAAACTTTGTTGGTCTTAAAGGTGCCCCTGGACCCGAACTTTACCGTTCTGCTTCAGACCAACACCCCCATTAATCAATTTATGATTCTCATATTCATAGAACAGTTTCAGAAGGTAGCTGTGTTAGTCTGCAGTAGAATAGATAGATCTGAATCCAGAAGTACTTTAGAGACCAACAAAATTTTGGGGGGAAGAAGAAGAGATTGGATTTATACCCCACCCTTCACTACCCAAGGGACTCTCAGAGTGGCTTACAATCTCCTTTCCCTTCCTGTGAGGTAGGTGGGACTGAGCTCTGAGAGAAACTGCTCTTTTTCAAGAACAGCTGTACCAGAACTATGGCTTGCCCAAGGTCATCAAGCAGCTGCAAGTGGTGATCCGGTGCTATTTAAGTCAAGGAAAGCTTTGGAATTCACTCAGGAGGAAGAAGAGGATGAGGGTTGGTTTTATATCCCACCCTTCACTAGCCAAAGGAGTCTTAGGCCCCGTTCATACGAAGCGGTTTGGGCCGGGAGCGGGCCGGATTGGAAGCGCAGCAAACGGGCGTGATCCCACGCCAACATCTACCTGGCGTCGCGATCCGGCCCTTCCCCCGATGAAGCGAGTCAAAGATGAACCACCTACCTTCAGTGGTTCATCCGGATGGTCCGCTTCATCCTGGCCGTGGGATCGGCGGCGCATCTTGCCACCATTGCATCTCCGGCCCCCTGCCGTACTGCGCATGCTCGAGCATGCGCAGTACGGCAGCCTCCCCCTCTGACTAGTATCTTCCTCCCCGGCATCTGATCGTGCCGGGGAGCAACGGAGCGCGGCTACCGGGATCCATGGGATCCCGCCACGGCGTTTCTTTTTTGGCGCGGCTTTCAAAAGCCGCACTTTGCCCCGTCTTTTCCCTGCCGTGTGGCAGGGGCCTTAGAGCAGTTTACAATCACCTTCCCTTCCTCTCCCCACAACAGAGACCCTGTGAGGTAGGTGGGGCTGAGAGAGCTCTGAGGGAACTGTGACTGGCCCAAGGTCACCCAACAGGCTTCATTTGGAGGAGGATTGGGGAATCGAACTTGGTTCTCCAGTTCAGAGTCCACTGCTCTTAACCACTAAACCTAATCTTTAATCCCAACAACAATCAAGCAACAGGAGTTATTCACACAAGCCAAAGGGAGAAGTCTGACAGATCCATTTTGGCTACAATCATACAGCAAAGGCAGCACACAGAAGGGAAGTAATTATGAACTTGCTCTGTGAATGTCCCAAAAATGTCCCAACTGACCCAAGGTTTGCTTTTCTAAATGTTATATTTACATGAGAGAAGCCCTGCTCCTGGAGTGGGCCTCGATTTTTCAGGGCTATCAGGATGGTCAGGGATTGTTGGACCACAGAGGGAGCCAAGCCATTGTTGTGTAAACTGAAGCACCATTTAAGAAATCCTCACACCAATTTCAACTTTCAGGAAGGAAGGAAGGTGTCTTCCATATTAAGTAAAGGGTTAAAGTAATTGAGCTTTGATTATGCACCAAGAACAGCTAATGAACTTGGCTGCCAGATTCACTGAATACAACCCCCCCCCCCCACTTTGCACTTGGCTGCCAGATTCACTGAATACAACCCCCCCCCCCCAATTGTGGAAATGCAAAAATGGGACATCAGTCTACATCATAACCCCGAATTGCAATAGAAAAGTTGGGTGGATATGTATTGAATAATTTACACCTTTATCAGCTTCACTAATCAGTTTCCCTCATCTCCTTTTGAAGGCTTCTTCTTTCCCAGCCTCTCTCCTAAACACTGCGGTATCCAAGGTACGGAGATTTAAAAAAAAATAATGAAGGAATTTTTAAAATACATTCTGGATTCCAAGAGCAATTTTGAAAACACTGAACTAAAATTGCCTTCTCGGCTGGCATTCTTCAGTAACCCAGAACTCACCATTTGCATTTCTAATGTAAATGTCCTGAACAAAATCCTTGCAGCCAGTCACTCTTACCTTGGAATTTCTTTATGACACTCTCCAGCAAGTGATTGATCTCACAGCAACCCCAGAGCCTCCATTTCAGCCCAGGAGGGAAAGCCCCTGGATTCTCAAACGTCTCCTTCTTCTGATACCTAGAGAGGAAAACTCTAATGGATCATTCATTCAAACCAAAACTCCTGAGCAATGCTCCCTCTAAGCTGTGGAGTCTTGTGAGCAAAAATTCTACTTTGTGAGCTACTGGCATTAAAGCTGTGAGCAAACGAGTGGGCTCCTGCATAAATTAGTCTGCCCTGGAACCATCCTTCCTGAGCTAAGACAAAAATGTGTGAGCCAGAGGCTAAAAACCTGTGAGCTAGCTCACACTAACTCAGCTTTGAGGGAACACTCGTCCTGAGAGAAGCAAAAGAACAAAAAGGAAAAAATGTGCAGAAATGCGTCCCTTGCCTTGAAAACCCTTTGAGGTCACCACTATAAGCTGGCTGCGACTTGAGGGCGCTTTCCACCAGCACTAAGGCAACAAACAGTGGAAAGCGTAGATAAGCCACAGGCAGGAGAAGAAAGGCAGAGAGTGACAGAAGTGCTTTGGAAGGTCTGCCTCACTACAAGCATCAAACTAGATATTATGATGAATATGCTTCCTTCATCTTTAAAACATCTTTATGTTTGCTTTCCCACTCACCTCGGTTGCCCAAGGCAGCAATCAATCAAAACTATTAAAACAAGCTTTCAAATGAAAAACAATTAAAGAAAACAGAGAAACATAGAAACAGGAAGGAGCATCCAGTGAGGGAACTGCTAACAATACAGCAAAGTTCTTCATAGGCAGGTGGAAGACAATAAGGGAAGAAGACAAATGAATCTTCCTGGGAAGGAGTTTCCATAATTTTACTGCCACGACTGAGGCCCTCAGGACATTCTTGAGTGTCTCCTCCTCACATGACCACAGTGATTAAAAAAAGGAAGTACAGTGGGGCTTGCCACTTGTGGACATGTACAGAAACACTGATCTGACAGTGTTGCAGTTTCATATATTTTTTTGAATTTCTCTGAGCTTATGAATCTAATTCTATGTATGGACTTCTCTGCCTCTTGGACCCCAGACATGCCACTTTAATCGCCCTGGCCACCTTCAGCTGGGCAGATTCAGACCAGCCCAGATTAGTTGCGCCTTTGTACATCTGTCTAGTTGTTTTTGTGACTTGGAATGTTCTTTTCTTTTGTGTAAGCCACTTTGGGTCCCTTTGGGGAGAAAGGCAGCCGGAGACAGCTGGATCGAGGCGGGTCGATGCTGCTGTTACTGCTCACTCTTACAGCGGCATTCAACACAGTCAACCACAGTCTCTTGCCCCACTGCCTCGCTGACATAGGAGTTTGTGGGGTGGTCTTGAAGTGGCTTACCTCGTTTCTCCAAGGTCAGGAACAGAGGGTGGCACTAGGAGAGAGGGTGTCAGATAGATACCCCCTAACATATGAGGTCCCTCAGGGGCAATCCTCTCTCCAGTGTTGTTCAACATCTATATGCACTCCCTTGCCCAGCTGGTGTGGAGTTTTGTGCTGGGGTGTCACCAGTATGCTGATAACACCCAGCTGTATCTATTGATGGGCAGTCACCCAGATACCACCCCACAAAATCTGGCTGAGGGACTGGGGCTGTGGTGGGATGGTTGAAAAAGATCCAGCTGAGACTGAATCCAACTGAAACTAACTAAGACGGAGGTTCCATGGCTGGGTGGGATTCAGGGTTGGGGTGCCAACTCCCTACTCTTGACAGTATGCCCCTAATACCAGCACCAAGTGTCAAGAGTTTGGGCATGGTTCTGGATCAATGGAGGCCCAGATAATGAACGTTGCCCAGCTGGTGTTCTTCCAGCTACACCAGGTGAGGCAACTGGCCCCCTTCCTGCCTTGCCTCAGCCTAGTCACAGAATCCACACAAGGATCAACTCCAGATTGGATTACTGTAACTTGCTGTACGTGGCCTACACTTGAGGCTGACACAGAAACTCCAACTAGTACAGAATGCAGCAGTGCAGGTCCTTATGGAGCAGCTGCACACAGCACACATCCATCCTGTGCTGTGTGAGTTGCACTGGCTTCCGGTGGAGTACCAGATCAGATTCAAGGTCTTGGTGGTCCCTGCCACACGGGGGGAAAGGGACGGGCAAAGTGTGGCTTTTTAAAGCCGCACCTAAAGAAACACGCCGCAGCGGGATCACATTGATCCCCTGAGCCACGGCGCATTCCCTCCCTGGCACGATCAGATGCCGGGGGAAGCGACGGAGGGGAACGGGAGACTGCCGAACTGCGCATGTCTGAGCAGGGCCGGCGATCCCACGGCCGTCCTGGAAGAACCACCTCGGTAGGTGGTTTAGAAGCAGTCCTGCAATTACTTATCATCATCAGCTAAGGGCTGGGAGCCATGTGCTCTGCCTTCTTTCTTGAAGCTCTGCTTTAAGCTTTTGCCCTCTCCTTTCAGCGTGTGGGTGACCCAGGAGGACTGATAGTAACCACCTGGCCTTCATCCGTTGAGACAGGGCTGGAATGTGCTGGTGAGTCAGCCTCAACTGTTGGCAATGATCCAGCCTTCCCTTCATCTCCTGTGCTGGTTTCTGCCAATTCACTGCTGCTTCCTTGAAGTTCATTTTCACCCGAGCAAACCCCTTCTCTTAAAGTGTCTTGGTTGTTGCTCTGCTCCAGCTGGAGGTTAAGCTGGAGTTCAGGCTGACCCATGACATTATGCTTGATGGTGGATCAGAACTTATTGGTGGTCCCTGGCCCGAGAGACATCTGGCTGTCCTCGACCAGTGCCAGGGCAGAGAATTCCAGGGATATCATGCCTTGCAGGATATGCTACATTTCTGCAGGGTATGCAAGGCAGAGATGGTCTGCCAGGCGTTCAGCTGAGGACAGCGACAGTCCCATCTTGGCACTCCCACCTCTCTGCCCTTTCTCCATGAGATAGTAGTGCCACTGGGGTTTTAGTGCCATCTTTAGTTAGACCATCATGTTTTTGTTGTCTTTGTTGTTGTTGTTCAGTTGCACAGTCGAGTCCGACTCTTCGTGACGTGACCCCATGGACCAGATCCCGCCAGGCCTTCTTGGTTTTAATTAGTTTATTGGATGTTATATACAGGGCCATAACTAGGTGGGGGTGGTGCCCCCCTCAAATCTTTGAATGACTTCTCCAGCTGCACGGGCATTCTTCCCCTCTTTCCTTCCTTGCAGTCTTCGGGCTCTCCAGCAGCAGCATGCACTTGTTTGGCTCTGTGCAGGGCACACCTCGTTTATGCGCTTCGTGTTGAGGATGGGGCTTGTGTGGAGGTAAGGACGGAGGGAGAAGGCAGGCAACCTCTTCTCTGGCTCCAGTGCACTCTCCCCTCCCCTTTTTGTTCCACAAGGGGAAGGAAGGAGCCCCCAGCTAGGCTGTTCCTGCTCCAGCCGCCTCCCCTCCCAGTGCTGGGAAGCCTGGCTTGCTTGCCTCACTCATTAATTAAATTAGCATCCCCCAGCACCCCCTCCAGGAAAAATCCTAGATACGGGCCTGTTGTACACTGCCCTGAGCCTCGTTCCACTGGGGAGGGGAGTTGATAAATTCAATAAATAAATAAGCTTGGAATTGTTTTATTAATTTATGAATGTTCTTACTGTTGTTCACTGCCCTGAGCCCTGTGTATTCAGGGAAGGGTGGTCTATAAATTTGAATCGTAAATAAATAAATAAAAACATTTAAATAAATAAATTTCCATGTGAAACATTGAAGGATCCATAGCCCTACATGCTGCCTCCTGGAGCTTGATGGTAGAGATGCCGGCCTCCAGGCGGGACCAGGGGAACCCCCAGAATTACAGCTCACCTGAAGGCTACCAAGATGCTTTGAAGGGTGAACTCTGTAGCACTGTGCCCTACTGAGATCCCTGCCCTCTCCAGGATCCATCTCCAACTCTCCAGGAGTGTCCCAACCTGGACCTGAGAATCCACCCCCCCCCTTGTCCCTTCCAGTGGCCAGGGGGGACTTGGAACCCTACCTGAGGGCCACATACTTCTCATACTATCCAGACCTTTTCCATCACCCAGAAGGGAAACGAGTGAGATCTACTTACCTCTGGAAAGTGTTTCTGACATCCTGGAGGGAAGAGAAAGAAAACTCAATGCCTGCCAGGGACCATACTAGCGCTACAGCTACATAGAAGTTTTTCGCTGCACCAGGTTTGGAACATTCATATTATGTCATCTTCCAGTTGGCCTCCTTGTCAGACCTTCCATGTCCTCAGTACATTCCTTCTCAAACCTGGTTTGGTGTGATCTTTCCAGAAACAACACACTCCAAGCATGTTAGTACACCACCTTGACAAGAAGGGGTGCGTTTCTGCAAATGCCTCTCACATTGGTGCCATTTTCCTTCTGTCCACCCCTTGAGGCCACCATTTCCCCAAAGGGCCAGTTTTAATTTGGTAATTGCTGTCAATGTATAGTTCGTCCGTCCGTCCGTCCCTTCCTTCCTTGGCCCTTTTTGTTGCAGTGACATAAGTGAAATATGGGGGTAGGAAATGTTTCAACAGTGGCCTCACAAAGTCTTGGTTGCCTGTGTGGCATTAAGTTCTAGAGCAGGAGTCCCCAACCCTTTTGAGCTTCACATATCTTTGGAATTCTAACGCACCTTTGGAATTCCGACAGAGGGTGGTGGGACCAACCACAAAATGGCTGCTGCAAGAGGGTGAGCCAGTGTCAGGGAGTGAGGTCAGGCAAAACTCCAACTGTAACTCTTCAGCATTACAGTCAGAAGCTCTGTTTAACAGGATGTTGCCTTTGAAAATGAACACACTATTTAAATTTTTAAATTTTTTCTGGCATACACACAGCTTACTGTGTGCTGTGACGGCAGTGGCTGCTGAAGCAACATTTTAAAAATCTGCAAAGCAAAGCAGATTTCTTTTTCTTTTGGTATATTTGTTTTGGTGTGTGTGTGTGTGCACGTCGTGCACGTGCACATGGCTGAAAGTCATGGTAACCTCTGCTGACTCCTACTGGGACATGGAGGATGTTCAGAGAAGTGGCTTGATAGCCTTCCTCTGCCTCCTGGCTCTGGTATTCTTTGGAGGTCTCCCATCCAAATACTTGCCAGGGTCAGCCCTGCTTAGCTTCTGAGATCTGATGAGATCGAGCTTTCTTGGGCTATCCAGGTAAAGGGGCAGCGAAGCAAATTTTAAATGGCCAATCAGAAGCCTTGCTGCGCAAAAGCTTCACCCAGCCCTGCAGGGGTAGAATGTGGGGGTGGGAATGGCCCTGAATACCATAGAATTTCTGGCAGCTCCTAGAGCTACTTTTGTCAGTTCCTCTAAAGAACTTCTGGTAAGCACTCCAGCCCATATTTTTAAAAAATATTCTCCCGCCATTGCTCAGGGCAGGAACAGGCAACAGGACGGCTTGGGGGCAGGGGATCCACACCCCCCCCAGCAGGAGCATAGCAGCCCTAATCCAAAGTGAGGTGAACAGATAGAAGAAACAGAAGGAAATCCTAAGCATCTCTACTTCAACTTAAGTCTACTCAGTGTCTTTAGGATTTCCTAAATAGGGTCTTCTCAGTTGTTGCAACTCAAGTATGGAATTAATGCCCTCCTGTTGGTTTGAAGAACTAGTGGCATGCAGGTTTTAGGGAAGCCTGTCTCCCATAAAGTCATGAGGCCTTTGCATAAATTTTCCCATAGGCCTACATAGGCCTTATGACTGAGCTGTGGAAACTGGAGGGAAAAGCAGAAACCAATTGCTGTCAAGGAGGCAGAGCTCTAACAAGACAGTATATAAAGCCCTGCAGAGACAGGGAAGGTATTAAACCCCCTGAAATCAGCACTGCGGCCTCCACCCTGCTCACAAAAAGACCCTTTAAAGGGTTTTTTTACGAGTAGAGCCTGTGCCCGCGACCTCCCCCTCCCTCCCTCCTGCTGGATTTAAAGGGCAATCCAGCTGGTTGGCAGGCCACATGGTCCCCGTCAACCAGCTGAAGCCCTTTAAACTGGGCAAGAGGGGAGGGAGAGGGGTGGCTCGGTGGATAGTTGCTCTCAGGGGTGGGGCTGGGGATGGATTGAAGCCACCAGAAGTGGGGGAACCCCTGCCCAGACCTGGGGGATGGCAACCCTACACACATGGTGACGTGAGTCTGGCCTACTGGTATCAAGTGTTGAGACAGGAATAGGATCCAGGTAAGGCAGTCACTCCCTCATGGATCACTGCCTTGACGTGGTGAGAAGGCTTGCGTGGTTCAATGAGGCTGTGGGCTATGCCGTGTAGGGCCACCCAGGACGGACAGGCCACAGCATAGAACTCTGACCAAGTGTGATCCCCTGGAGAAGGAAATGGCAACCCACTCCAGTACTTTCGCCAAGAAAACCCCATGGACAGTGACAAAAGGTGAAAAGATATGATGTCAGAAGATGAGCCCCTCAGGTTGGAAGGTGTCCAATATGCTACTGGGGAAGAGCAGAGGGCAAGTACAAGTAACCCCAGAAAGAGTGAAGCAGCCGGGCCAAAGCCGAAAGGGCGCTCAGCTGTGGATGTGTCTGATGGGGAAAGGAAAGTCCGATGCTGCAAAGAACAATACTGCATAGGAACCTGGAATGTAAGATCTATGAATCAAGGTAAGCTTGATGTGGTCAAAAATGAAGATGGCAAGACTGAACATTGACATCTTGGGAACCAGTGAACTAAAGTGGACAGGAATGGGCGACTTTAACTCAGAAGACCATTATATCTACTACTGTGGCCAAGAATCCCGTAGAAAAAATGGTGTGGCCTTTATAGCCAACAAGAGAGTGCGAAAGGCAGTGTTGGGATACAATCTCAAAAATGACAAAATTATCTCAGTCCGAATCCAAGGCAAACCATTCAACATCACAGTAATCCAAGTCTATGCCTCAACCCAGTTCTATGCCCAGTTCTATGAACACCTGCAACACCTCATAAATCTAACACCAAAAAACGATGTCCTCATCATCATAGGGGACTAGAATGCTAAAGCAGGAAGTCAAAAGGTAACTGGAATAACAGACAAGTTTGGCCTTGGAGAACAAAATGGAGCAGGGCAAAGACTAACAGAGTTTTGTCAGGAGAAGACGAGGGTCATAGCGAACACCCTTTTCCAACAACCTAAGAGGCGACTCTACACATGGACATCACCAGATGGGCAACACCGAAATCAGATTGACTATATAATTTGCAGTCAAAGATGGAGAAGCTCTATCCAGTCAGTAAAAACAAGACCTGGAGCTGACTGTGGCTCAGATCATGAGCTACTCATTGCAAAATTCAGACTTAAACTGAAGAAAATCGGGAAAACCACGAGGCCATTCAGGTTTGACCTAGATCGCATCCCTGATGAATATACAGTAGAGGTGAAGAATAGATTCAAGGGTCTGGATTTGATAGATAGAGTGCCTGAAGAACTATGGACAGAGGTTCGTGACATCGTACAGGAGGCAGCAATCACCACCATACCAAAGAAAAAGAAATGCAAGAAAGCAAAATGGCTTTCTGATGAGGCTTTACAAATAGCAGAGGAAAGAAGGAAAGCGAAAGGCAAAGGCGAAAAGGAAAGATTTACCCAACTGAACGCAGATTTCCAGAGAACAGCAAGGAGAGATAAGGAGGCCTTCCTGAATGAACAGTGCAAAGTAATAGAAGAAAACAATAGAATGGGAAGGACTAGAGATCTCTTCAAGAAAATTGGAGAAATCAAGGGAGCGTTCCATGCAAAGCTGGCCATGATAAAGGACAAAAACGGTAGGGACCTAACAGAAGCAGAAGAGATTAGGAAAAGATGGCAAGAATACACAGAAGAACTATACAAGAAAGACCTCGATGTCCTTGACAACCACGACGGTATAATCACTGACCTCGAGCCAGACATCCTGGAATGTGAAGTTAAATGGGCCTTAGAAAGCATTGCTAACAACAAAGCTAGTGGAGGTGATGGTATTCCAGCTGAGCTATTCAAAGTCTTAGAAGATGATGCTGTTAAAGTGCTGCACTCCATTTGCCAGCAAATTTGGAAAACGCAACAGTGGCCACAGGATTGGAAAAGATCAGTATACATTCCAATCCCAAAGAAGGGCAATGCCAAGGAATGTTCAAACTATCGCACAATTGCACTCATATCACACGCTAGCAAGGTCATGCTCAAGATCCTACAAGCTAGGCTTCAACAGTACGTGGATAGAGAACTACCAGAAGTACAAGCTGGGTTTCGAAGAGGTAGAGGAACGAGAGATCATATTGCCAACATTCGCTGGATTATGGAGAAAGCAAGAGAGTACCAGAAAAATATCTACTTCTGCTTCATTGACTATGCTAAAGCCTTTGACTGTGTGGATCACAACAAACTATGGCAGGTCCTTAAAGAGATGGGAGTACCAGACCACCTCACATGTCTCTTGAGAAACCTGTATAAGGGCCAAGAAGCGACAGTTAGAACCGGATACGGAACAACTGATTGGTTCAGCATAGGAAAAGGAGTACGACAAGGATGTATACTGTCACCTTGCTTATTTAATATATATGCAGAGTACATCATGCGAAATGCTGGCCTGGATGAATCACAAGCGGGAATTAAGATTGCTGGGGAAAAGATCAACAACCTCAGATATGCAGATGATACCACTCTAATGGCTGAAAGTGAAAAGGATCTAAAGAGCCTCTTGCTCAGAGTAAAAGAGGAGAGCGCAAAAGTGGGCTTGAAGCTCAACATCAAAAAAACTAAGATCATGGCATCCGGCCCCATCACTCCTTGGCAAATAGAAGGGGAAGTCGTGGAAGTAGTGACAGACTTCACGTTCCTGGGATCCCAGATCACCGCAGACTGTGACTGCAGCCATGAAATTAAAAGACGCCTGCTCCTTGGGAGGAAAGCGATGGCGAACCTAAACAGCATGATAAAAAGTAGAGACATCACCCTGCCAACAAAAGTCCGCATGGTCAAAGCAATGGTATTCCCAGTAGTCATGTATGGCTGCGAGAGCTGGACTATAAGGAAGGCCGAGCGCCGAAGAATAGATTCTTTTGAACTATGGTGCTGGAGAAGACTCTTGAGAGTCCCTTGGACTGCAAGAAGAACAAATCAGTCAATCCTCAAAGAAATCAACCCTGACTGTTCCCTGGAAGGCCAGATAATGAAACTGAAGCTCAAATACTTTGGCCACCAAATGAGAAGGGAGCACTCACTGGAGAAGACCCTGATGCTGGGAAAGATTGAAGGTCAAAGAAGACGGGGACGGCAAAGGATGAGATGGTTAGACAGTGTCAAATATGCTTTTGTGGGAGTAAGCCCCCTTGTCCTCAGCTGGATTTCCCATCTGCATAAACATGCTGAGGACTGTACTGCAGAAGTCTGGTCTGGCAGATGTGCCCTTGGGGAAGTTAGTGACCGTACCGGCATCTTCCCCTTAGCCCAATTTGAAGACTTAAGCCCAGAAGCTAAGTGTGGTACTCTTTTGTACCAAAGATAATTGCCAGTATTAATTTCCTTACACTGGCTTCTAAGGCATGAGCTGATTATCATAGTTTCTGTTTGAAAAACCATCACAAATGTTGAATAGGGTTGCCAGGTCTGGGTTAGAAAATGCCTGGAGATTTTGGGGGTGAAGCCTGAGGAGGGCAGGATTTAAGGAGGGGAGGGACTTCAATGTGATATAATGCCATAGACTCCACCTTCCAAAGTGTCCGTTTTCTTCAGATGAACGGATCTCTTTTGCCTGCATATCAGTTGTAATCCCAGGAGATCCCCAAACACCACCTGAAAGTTGACAACCCTGCCCTAGAACCAGAGTCATAGCAGTCTGTTAAGGTCCTTGCCTAGTCCAGGCCCGAAAGAGGCAGGAGGAAAGGAAGCGGTGTGTAGGAGGGAGGGATCCCTGAAAGGGATGTCCTGTTTATGTCAAACTTGCACAGCTCTGCCTCCTTCTCTAATGGTCTTCTCTGAGCCATTTGCCTGGTGCCAAGTCTTTTTAATTTGAACCTTAATTCCACACAGGCCTCATGTTAGTGAGCAACCTGACCTCAATCTCTCGTATGTTCCTAGGCACAATCAAATCAATGTTATCCCTTTCATAAACTGAGCCCTTCTCTTGTGCAGCTAAAGGTGGCAAAGGGCTCTTTCCTACCTTCAGAACTTCAATATCTGAAGAAGAGAAGGGACTGGATTTATACCCCGCCCTTCACTACCCAAAGGAGCTTCAGAGTGCTTACAATCTCCTTTCCCTTTCCCTCCCCACAACAGACACCCAGTGAGGCAGGTGAGGCTTAGAAAGCTCTTTCGAGAACTGATTGTGAGAGAACAGCTCTGAGAGAACTGTGGCTGACCCAAGGTCACACCAGCAGCTGCATGTGGAGAAGTGGGGAATCAAACCCAGGTGTCCCAGATTACAGTCCACACTCTTAACCACTACACCAAACTGGTTCTTTCCTACCTTCAGAACATCAATATCTGGCTGCTGGTGCTTCTCTTCCATCTCCTGGATGAGTCTTTCAAGAGAGGAGAGTTCCTTGGAGAGTCTGGCTAGACACTCATCCCTTGCTCTTGCGATGTCCTTTTCCAGCTCCTCCAACTGGAATAGCAGAAGTTTCTCTTGATCTGCTAGAAACTCGTGCAATTGTCTGAACAGAGCCACTGTGTTTTCTCTTTCCAATTCGTTTTGTTTCTACAAGTAGGAGATAGAAAAAAGAGAACAGAAAACCCAAGTGAGGAATGTGGTTGGTCCTTGTAGGGTCAAGAAGTTGGTTATGAGGATTCTGATAGAAAGATCATGTGGCTTTTCAGAGTCAGGGCATGTTAAAATCACGTTACTTAACATGTCTACACATTAGTAGTACAATGGAGAGAACAGCAAGTCCATTGCGTGGTTCGCAGATAGGGATGCCAGCCTCCAGGTGGGACCGGGGGATCCCCTAGAGTTGCGGCTCATCTCCAGACTGCAGAGATCAGTTCCTCTGGAGAGAATGGATGCTTTGGAAGGTGGACTCTGTTGCATTGTGCCCCACTGAGATCCCTGCGGGCCTCCCCAGGCTCCACTCCCAAATCTTCGGGAATTTCTGAGCCTGGAGCTCGCAACCCTATTTGGAAATGCAAAAATGGTGTGTGTGTGTGTGTGGGACTGAAGCAGCTTCTTCCTGCCTGCTTTGATTGCCAGCGGAAAAGAGCCAATATTTGTGTGGGAGGCACAAAACTGATGCATGCTTTGTGGGCATGCCTATCTGATGCAAAGCCCTTGTGTAGTCCCTTGGCAGGGAAAAAGCTTCCACAAGAGACTGCTTGAAAGGCACTAACCTTCATGCAATGTCCAGTCAGGTGTAAGCTCCCCCCCCCCGATTTTTTTTCCCTTTGGCCAAATGCTGCAAAGACCAGTGAAAGCTAGGGTTTCCATTCCCCCGATGGGGGAGGGGGTTTGCCTGCTTTCAGGCCCCCAGATCTGCTGGCCCCGATCCATCTGGTGGGGGAACCCTGCCCCCAAAGTGCCCTGTTTGCACCAATGTGCCTGGCGCAATGACATCACCCAGAGGTGACGTTATCGTGCAGCGCACATTGCAGGGGGACACTCTATCGTTCGAGAAAAAACTCTATGGTTACCATAGAGGTTTTCCTCAGATGATAGAACATCCCCCTGCAACATGCCCTGCATGGTGACATCACTTCCGGGTGACGTCATCAGGGTATGCATGCTTTGCGGGTATGCCGAAAAGTCCCGGAGATAGAGAAGCACTCCCCCCCTGCTGGGAGCCAGGTAAGACCTGGCAACCAGAGTTCCGGCTCTGGGCTCACCGACAGCGGGTGTGCATGTCATTTGCTCCGCACACTTGGCTCTACCTCTAGCTCTCTAGGACAATTTCAACACCTCTAAGTGCTCTCTTGTAGAGAGAGATGTAGCAAGGAGCATTTTGTCTAAGGTGTGGTGGGGTTTCACCCCCCCAGCCTGTTAGGCCAGCTCTGAAGCAGGGAGTTATCAGGAGCCCCAACGAGACCCAGTCACGCCAAGCACCAGAGGAGCCTGAAGAACCATATGAGTCTGAATGAAACAACCTCGACTTAACGAACCTAAGTGCAACTTAAAACTCCCCCCCCTGTTTATTTTGTGATTGTCAGCTTAATTTATCGTATCTGGATTCTCGAAGGGAGGGAAGGAAGCAGTGGCATGTGGGGGGGGGAGGGAATGTCCTTATCTCCTTTAAAGACTTGTGGAGCTTCCCTTAAGGTGGCTAATTAAATAAACAGAGTGATAGAGTGGGAAACTAAGAGACAGACCTAATAGGGTGTGTAAAACGCCAAAAGCAGATATTGGTAATTGCAAAAGGTTTTTTCCCCTCTTTGTTCTTACCTTTTTTTGGTACATTACTTTAAAATCCCCGTCCAGACTGCTGACAAGAAAGTGCCGATGTTGGGATACAGACGGGCTGCGGTGACATGGTATCTCTGAGACAACGGAGAAGGACGGTGTCGGAGGAGAGGAGTGGGGTGTCGCAGAAACCAGGAGACAGCAGACAGCAGAGAAGGATGACGCAGGAAGAATTAGATGCAAGGAAGAAGAGATGGGGACAGACAAGACATAAAGCACGAGAAGGAGAGAAAGTTAAAAACAACAAAGGGGAAGAAAACAGAACAAAGTGATAGAACTAGACATCAATTGACAGAACGGACTTTATAGAAATTTTTTCCGTTAGGGGGAAAAACAAAAAATAGAGCTAAAGTAATATCTTAAAGTAGCACTATATTAAATAGAGGGGAAAGTAAGAAAATAATTAAGAGAATTAAACAAACACGTGTGAACACAATACACTTAATAAATGCTACATAGACTTAAAAAGGGGGAAGCCAAAACAACTCTAAATAGCATAAGACAAACAGCCTAATTATTAATCTATGGCATCTGGATTTAGTGGTCATAGGAAAACGTCTTTAAATCAGGAAGTTTTGGTCAGCTGAAAGCAAACACAATGTCAATAACTCAAATGTATATAAAAGAACTGAAAGCATTGATACAAGAGAGCGTGGCTCAAGCAATGAAATTAACAGTAGAAAATACTCTCCCATAATTAATTAAGAAAGAAATTGAGTCCATAAGATTAAAAATGGAAGACATGTCAAACCAAATTAGGACAGATACTGAAGAAATTAATAAGCAAATAATAGAAAATAAACAGGAAATACTACAGATATCAACTAGTAATGATACAACAAAAAAGAAAGTGTGAGAGTTGGACCACGAGATTCAAGAATTAAAAATAAAAGGGGGACTTCCGGTTGATGGCGGCACGCTAGCAGACTTTCCTCCCGGACCTCCCGGGGGTGAAGCTGTGCTCCAGCTGAAGGAGGGGGTGCGCAGGTTCGTCACCCCCCCAGGGACCCGGCGAAGGGACCCTGGCCATGGAACTTTTAAGAGGTTGCCTCTTCAATGGCGGAATGCCAGAGAATTGAGGTGCCTCTTCGTTCCGATGGTTCTCCATGCTGAGAGACCGAATGGACTTAAGTGACGCCGACCGGGGCAAGCACAGGAGATCGAGCGCCAGAAATGAAGCCGAAAGCGAGGTCGGAAGACCAATTATGAACGTGAGTCAGTTTTAAAGCGTTTTTAAAGGAAAAAGATAGCTCCCCACCCCACTGAACGGGAAAAAGGCGAGCAGGGGAGGGACTCCTCCCATGCGTATGAACTTTTGAGCAATTATGGGGGGGGAGTGGAAGAAAACATGAAGAAAACTGTCTAGAAGTACTTACCAAAGTGAGTCTAAGCATTCAAGTGCACATTCAGAGACTTTTTTAAAAATGCGCGAAAGTAAACAAATGATAAAGATGGCGGGGAAGAAGGACAAAGAAAAACTTTTGAAATCGGAAGGGACTGAGAGCCCGAAACCGGAAATAACCAGTAAGATGGCAAAGATTATAGCAGAATCCATGCGCCCCCTGCTGGAACAGCTGAATAACTTCAAGGAACAGATGTCAACAATGCCTCAATGTATCACCTCTCAGCAAACCCAGATAAATGAGATGTTGCAAATAATGAAGCAAAATACTGAGAAGGTGAAAGAAGTGGATGCAACTACCCAAAAGATGAAGAAAAAAGTGCAAAAACTGGAAAGGAAGCAAATTTCTACGGAAGATCAGCTGCTGCAATTAAAAAAGGAAAAGGCTAACACGATTCTTCGCTTCCAGGGCATGCCGGAGAACAAGGGAGAGAATATTAAAGAAGTGATAAGTGAAATACTGGCCCCAGTGACAGAGATGAAGGCGGAATCATTGCTAAGCGATATGGATATGGTCTACAGGTCATATTCAGCCTATATAAAGAAAAATAATCTGCCTGGGGAAATTGTTGTAAGATTCTCGAAGAGGCATGTGAGGGATGAAATCCTGAAAGCAGTTTCTGGAGTACCCCTGAAAGTGGGAGAGAATGTCATCAGAGTCTTAAAAGACATTCCATTTGAAATAAGACAACGGAGAAAGAAGTACAAAGATCTTGTTCTTTTTCTTCAGACAAATTCAATTGGATACAGATGGCTAACTCCAGAAGACGTCACCTTCAAAATCAAGGATAAAAAAGAAAAAATTCACTCTGTTCTGAAAGCTCGGGAATTTCTAAGGGTCCAGTTGGGAGGGTCAGAGGAGGGAAAAAAAAAGAAGAGATGGACAGTAAGTCCAGTGGCGAGCTAGACTCGGGTTCTTCCGGAGAGGACTCTCTCTCAAAGAAAGGGGCAGCAGCCCCTAAAAGTC